CCCCCATGGCAGATCTTCCAATTAACCAGGATGGGCAATGGTTGAGTGGAGTGGTGGTAGAACGGACAGATCAAAGCACTCTGTCCATATCCTCAGTTTTCAACAATTGAAACTCATCTATTAATACTTGACCTAAACACGGCGCACTGGACACATCTTCTGATTCTGCAGTAATGGTGGAGTCCAATCCACTGCAAATCTGAGCGATTTTCCCCTCAAAATGGATGGCAAACTCATCACAGCGAGCTGATGAGTAGTCCAGGACCTCCACCGGATTTCTTGGTTGAAAAAGATCCTGGACCACCCGAAAGAGCTCTGCTGGATGACATTCTGAGGAAGCGATACGGCTGGAGAAATATTGCCATTTCGCCAGCCGTATTGCCACGAAATAGGCCCAATAATGGGCTCTAAGTCGTGTTTGATTGGACTTCCAGCAGGATTTCCTCCATCTGCGCTCCAGCCATCTCCCCTCTCACTTCATTGCCCGCAATTCAGTTGTATATCAGGGAGCTGTCTGGGCTCTGTGTGCAGGAAGAGGGCGCTTAGGCGCAATCGTGTCAACTGCCCGAGTCATCTCCCTATTCCATAGGGTGACCTGAGCTTCGACAAGAGCGCCGACCATATCAAATGGAGAATCCCCCAGAGCATTCAGGAAACCATCTGGATGCATTAGTCTCCAAGGGCGGATCATCTTAATGGATCCCCCACCCTTGCAGAAGGGAGAAGCTAATAGACTAAACTTGATCAGGAAATGGTCTGACCATGACAATGGGGTCACTATCAGCCCCTCCACATCCAGACCACCATCTTCTAGTCCCATTGAGACAACCAGGTCGAAGGTATGGCCCTTCTCATTGAAACAGCCCCATGGTTGTCATGGCAGCCATGAAGTCAAGGCAGCCTCAGCAGGGATGTTGAGGTCCCCCAGCACCAACAGCCTGAGAGTCCTCAACACCAGGTCCAAGACTACCTCTGTCAGCTCAGGCAGGGAGACTGTTGGTGCGCAGCAGGGTGGGCGGTACACCAACAGAATCCCTAATCTGTCTCGCAAGCCCAACACACAATACAGGCCCTCAAGACCTCCTCTCAAAGGGATAGGAAGCCTGGTCAAGGAGATAGAACTCCTATAGACTATAGCAACTCCCCCTCCCCGACCCTCCGAGCGACACTGGTGCTGGACTGAGTACCCAGGAGGACACAGCTGGGAGAGGGGGACACCACTTTCCTCTCCCACCCAGGTCTCAGTAATGCACACCAGGTCAGCACCCTCATGCAGAATTACATCATGGATGAGGGCAGTCTTATTTTGTACTGGCGTGGTGTCAACAGCACTGTGTGGCTCAAGGGTTTGCTGATATGGTCACCTGATACCATCTGGTTGGGGGTAGGACTAGAAGAGGGGATAGATGTAAGATATCTAACCTCTCTTCTATGTGGGCATGTTCTACCCCCACCGCCATTCCTTCCCCTACTACCCAGCACCACCTCAATGGCTGCCCCCTCTCAACATCAGCCACCTGGCCTAGGGGGAGAGAGGGCTTTTAGGCCAGAGGTGCTCTTGGGACCCCACCAGACCAGCGTGCCTGCACTCAGAAGGAGCCGAAGACCATCTGCCAGCCACAGCTCAGAAGTTCTGGTTTATCTGTCCAGATGAGGTCTGAAAAATTAAAATCAAAATTGAAACTGGAAGCACAGTCATCTCTTCTTCATAGAGACCAAAACATTCCAATCACCTTAACTGCTTACAAGTTTTGAAAAGATTCAAAAGCCATTGTATCTAATGAAGGAAGCTGCACTCCATGAAAAGCTATAGTAGCCTTTAAGCTGTTATAAGACTTTGTTGCTAACACAGTGGTTTTATGAGCCATCTTAGTTTATTCCTAATCTTTTCCAGATTTCCTACACAGTAGGCAGGACCTATTAGAAAACTACAAGGCAAAAATACATGCTGGCATATTGATTTTATTTACAAGGCATGTCTACTGACCTAGGAAACTTCTCACTCAATTGTCTGTTTTGTTCTTGTATTCTGACCATGATTGGAAATCTCAATTTGTAGTAAGCGAGATATCCACCATCTTCAATATGGGCAGAATCTGCAGTTTTGTACTCTACAGCTCAGTTGAGGAGGTTGCTGTAGATGTGACTTGCTAATTCTGCTTGAGCTAAATTAATAAGATGTCACTACCAAAGTCAGGGAGCAGGAATATACAAAAGACAAATTAGTGCCTCAAACTGGAGTGTCTGT